CGCCATTGCACTCCAGCCTGGGTAACAAGATCGAAACTCCATCACAAAAAACAAACAAAAAAAAAACACCACAAATGGAATTGTTCGGGCATGGTGGCTCACACCTGTAATCCCAGCACTTTGGGAGGCTGAGGCAGGTGGATCATGAGGTCAGGAGTTCAAGATCAGCCTGGCCAACATGGTGAAATCCCATTTCTATTAAAAATACAAAAATTAGCTGGGCATGGTGGCAGGCACCTGTAATACCAGCTACTCAGGAGGCTGAGGCAGGAGTATCGCTTGGACCCAGGAGGTGGAGGTTGTAGTGAGCTAAGACCATGCCACTGCACACCAGCCTGGGCAACAGAGTGAGACTCTGTCTCCAAAAAAAAAAAAAAAGGAATTATCTACAGTGAGTAAACTCACAGAGACAGAATGCAGACTGGTGGTTACCATGTGCTGGGAGGAAGGGAGAATGGGGAGCAACTGCTTAATGCATACAAGGGCTCCTTTAGGGGTGATAAAAATGTTTGAAGGCCAGGCACAGTGGCTCACCCCTGTAATCCCAGCACTTTGGGAAGCTGAGGTGGGCGGATCACGAGGAGTTCAAGACGAGACTGGCCAACATGGTGAAACCCATCTCTACTAAAAAATACAAAAATTAGCCAGGCATGGTGGCTCATGCCTGTAATCCCAGCTACTTGGGAGGCTAAGGTAGAATTGCTTGAACTGGGACCCGGTAGGCGGAGGTTGCAGTGAACCAAGATTGTGCCACTGCATTCCAGCCTGGGTTACAAAGCAAGACTCCATCTCAAAAAAAAAAAAAAAGAAGTTTAGGAACTAGATAGAGTTGGTGGTTGCACAAGCATGGTGAATGTATTAAGTGCCATTGAATTGTTCATTTTTAAATAGCTAATTTTATATTACATTGATTTCCCCTCAATTGAAGGGAAAAACCAACAGATGGTTTCAGCCCGCGCTCACTTTTTGTGCTTTGCCTTTCCTCTTTCTCTGCCGGGGATGAGGATGTGATGCCTAGAAGACAGCAGCCATTTTTTCAGCATAAGCAAAGAATTATAGTAACAATAACAGCTAACGCTAATAGAGCACTTAATATAAAGCCAGGTACTGTTCTAAGCTCTTTATCTACATTGACTCATTTAATATTTAAACCAACCCTATAAGGAAGATACTATTATTCCCATGTTACAAATGAGAACACAGGTACAGAGAGGAAAACTGATGGCCCATGCCAAGGAAGGCAGAGTGAAATCTAGTTGAAGGCTGAACCCTCCATGCACCATGGAAACTCTGTAGCAGCCCTGGATACTTACCTTGGTTTTCTTAACTATTTGAGAAAAACACTCCCTATTTAATCAAGCCGTTTTAGTTAGGTTTCTGTTCCACACATTCTGAGATTGAAAGCCAGGTATGTCTGACATCCATGCAAGTGTGCCTAACCCCTCTGCTCTCCTAGCCTGCAAAAAGTGGTCAAGTGCTTGTGGGTTCTCTGATCCCAGTAGATGGTGGCCCTCTTGAAGGTGGAGCGGGGGTCCTTCTCCACTGTGAAGTCCCATCGTTGAGCACGGGTCCTGGTCCAGCTGGAGCAGTGCAGTGCGGTGTTGGGATTAGCAGTTTGGACCCAGAGAAGGGGCTCAGAGTGCAGTGAGGGAGACATTCCCTGGTGAAAAACAGACATCAAAGATGAAGTGAGCCTAGATGCAGGGGACCTTCATGATGGTCAGGATCTGGACAGATGAAGAAGACAGGAAATGGGCTTTCCAAACAAAGAGCACAGCTTTTGAGGGAAAGCACCAAGGTGTGAATGTAGAGTGGCATTCAGGCAGTACCAATAGCTGGGTGAGGCCGGAAAAACAGGCATGGATGTCGAGAGAGGGAGAGATCAGTTCTGAAGGGTGAAGACTCAGAACTCAGGACTTAGAACATGGAAAATCATCTGTGCAGAGCTTTCTGTGTCTTACTGCAATCCCAGGAGAAACGGCAAGAGGTGTTTCTCCCATTTTACAGAAAGGAATTGGTTTTCAGAGAGGCTTGATTTGGTTAATGTTGCCTCGTTAGCAAGTGGCAAGAGTGGGACTTGGACTGGGGTCTTTTGATTTCATGCCCCACACTTGCCTGCTTGAGCAAGTGGTGGTCAGCCTGCCTCTGTGGGTAGGGAGGGACTGCAGAAGTGTTCTGAGCAGGAAAGGGATGCTCCTTCTATAGGAACTTTCTCTTTTGCCAGTGGATTTGAGGTGACTTTCTGGGGCATGGAGGCAAACTCGTTCGTTCGTTCATTCATTCATTCATTCATTCATTCATTCATTCATTCATAAGAACACTTGCTGAGCTCCTTCTGTGCACCAGACACTTTGTGATATCACGGAGCTTACAATTTAGTGACAAGAGAGACAAGAACCCAGTAGAAAACAAACCCAAACAATTACAAATGTCAAGGGCTAGGAAGGAAACAAGCAAGGTGATGTGAACTTATGTTAGAAAGAGGAGTCAGGGATGGCCTCCTTGACAGGTGACAGACAATAGGTCATCAGAACTGATGGGGAGGAGGAGCCAACTCTGCCAAGAACAGAAGGAAGATGTTTGGGCAAAGAAAGCAGTGTGTACAAATGCACGGGTAGGAAAAGCTGGTAGGTTTGAAGAACTGAATAAAGGCCCTGAGGCTGGAGGGCGGTGAGCTGAGCATCAACCATCGGGCAGGTAGGCAAGGGTCAGATAATCAGGGCACTGAGATGCCAAGTCACGAGTGTGGGTTGTGCCTTGGGTGGGATGGTAAGCCACTAGAGCCAGGAGATCAGCCTGCATGTCCCAGCAGGACCAAAACCCTGTGACCCTTTGGAAGAGGGAGATTAGGGAAGGCAGGAGAGGCTCAACCAGCTGCAGAGGAATCTCATGTAAAGGAGGCAGGGGCATTAAGTTCTAAAATCAGCAGGTAAGGCAAAAGTTACAAAAGCAGTCCTTAGGATTTCAGTAAGGAGGCTGGGTGCGGTGGCTCATGCCTATAATCCCAGCACTTTGGCAGACTGAGGTGGGGGGGTCACTCGAGGTCAGGAGTTCGAGACCAGCATGGCCAACACGGAGAAACCCCATTTCTACTAAAAATACACACAAAAAATTAGCCTGATGTAGTGGCATGTGCCTGTAGTCCCAGCTACTTGGGAGGCTAAGTCAGGAGAATTGCTTAAACCCAGGAGTTGGAGGCTGCAGTGAGCCAAGATCATGCCACTGGGTGACAGAGCAAGATTCTGTCTCAAAAAAGCAAAAATTCAGTAGGGAGCTTATTACATTTTTGTGAGTTCAATCCTTATAGTAATAGGTATGTTTTTACATACTCTACATAGTAATATGCAGTATATGAAAAAGCATATATGCAGTATATGGAAAAAGCATGTATTTACACTATATAAAAAGTGTATAATTTAATATTGCTTTTTTTTTTTGAGACAGGGTCTTGTTATGTCACCCAGTCTGGAGTAATGGCACAATCATATGCCATGGCACAAGTTGCAACCTTGAACTTCTGGGCTCAAGCCATCCTCTCACCTCAGCCTCTGGAGTAGCTGGGACTACAGGCATGCACCACCACACCTAGCTTTTCTTTCTTCCTTTCTTCTTTCCCTTACTTTCTTTTTCTTTTCCTTCCTTCCTTCATTCTTTCTTTTCTTTCTCTCTTTCTCTTTCCTTCTTCTTTCTTTTTCTTTTTTTTGTAGTAGGGATGAGGTCTTGCTGTGTTGTCCAAGCTGATCTCAAATTCCTGAGCTCAAGCAATCTTCCTGCCTCGGCCCCCAATATTGTGTTTGAACACATAAAAAAGAGAAAAGCGAGTTGGCTTGTACCTATAAAGTTATTTGTGTGGATTACAGTGGAAGTACACTGAGACTCCCCAGAATGGGTGCTGTTGCTGCCCTGTCCAGATCCCCTTTCCCAGCTGCCATGATGTAGCCTACTAACAATCACAGCTGCCCCTTCTCTTGAGAATTGTCTTCAGCCTAATAGAAGCATACCACCTCCCTGACCCTAGTCCTTGCCAGTCCTGGGGACAGACTAGTGAGGGGTATAAAAGACTGGTCCCCTTGCCTCAATGTGAGACTGACTCTGTGGAGTAATTGACTAGGACCTGTTCATCTCTCCTCCTTCCTCTTTCCCTCTCTTTTCAAAATTATTATTGTTAGATACAGGATCTCACTATATTGACTAGGCTGGTTTTGAACTCCTGACCTCAAGCAATATTCCTGCTTTGGCCTCCCAAAATGCTAGGATTACAGGCATGAGCCACTGAACCTGTACAGATGATGACCTTGACCTCTGATTGCTACATAACTGGGACTCAGAGACCTTCTTGCACATCTGTGGGAAGGGCAGTGTGCGCTGAACTGCATTTCCTCACCAGCGTCACCCATTCCTTAAGAGTCAGGCTGATAAACGAGTCAATGCTGAGCCCAAACCAGGCAGGATTAATCATTTCCTCCTCCACACTGCTGTGACTGTATCCTGTGTCTGAGTCATTTCCTCATCCCTAATAGCTAACATGATGCCCAGTACAAAATAAGTATGGGGGAATATTTATGGAATAAATTTCATTGAATATGACACTATTGGATGTTGGGTCCACTCAGTGCACTTGGCCGCATTTTAAGCAGAATGAGGGTAGGTTTTTTGTTTTTTTTGTTTTGAGACACTATGCAAATAGGTAGAGCCAAGTTTTACTCTTTGGTGTGGGAAGGGCAGGATGGTACAGTGCAAGAGCATGAGCTCTGCAGACACTCAGGAGTCCTGTGCTTGAATTCTAACTCTGTCCCTCTGGGTCTTGAAATTTTAGACAAATTATTTCTCTTGGAATCACAGTTTCTGCATTTGTAAAATGAGGGTGATATTAACAACAGCTATGTGACAGGTGATTAGGAGGATTAAATGCAATAATGCACCTAAAATTTCCATCACTGGCCTAACACAAAGTAGGAGCTCAGTAAATATTAATTTTCTCTACTCTGTATTTCCCATAGGACCTAGAACATGGCAGACAGTAAATGCAAGTCACCTTCAGGCCACCCTGGACCATCCAACTCTGGCTAAGCCATAAGCTGACTACAATTACGTGAATGAGCCCAGGATATATGAGCAGAAGAATCACCCAACTGAGCCCAGCCAACCTGCAGAATATAGTATCATGAGCTAATAAACAATTCTTGCTTTAAGCCCTAAGCCCTAACAATTTGAACCTTGTTATACAGCGAACACTGTTGCAAACAATGAAGTTTTAAGAAGAGCTGGGATAGAGCTGGTATTTAGGAGCAACTGAAATCAGGACTCTCTTGTCCTGTCTCATGTCTTTTTTTTTTTTTTTTTTCTGCACATTAGCTTCCTTCTCTTTCATAGCACATTGATTTTCTTCGTGATGCAGAGAAAAAGATTGAGTTTTATAGCTTGCATCTTCAAGATAGTGGAGAAAAACTGATTTATTTCTCTGCATCTCAGATCTAAAAATCCCTGGGAAATGACTCATTGGCCCAGCTTAGGTCAAGCATCCCTTTGGACCAATCAACTGGTGATGGGCTGGGGAGGGCACTCCATCACAACACACACACTAGATGACATACGAGCAAAACTATATCCCAAGCACTGTTTTAAGGCTTAACAAGTGTTAACTGACTTCATCCTCATAATACAACAATCCCATCAGAGCTATTATTATCTCTGCTTTGAAGTGAGGAAACCGAAAAGCCAGAGAGGTGAAGTAACTTGCCCAAGACTACACAGCTAAAAAGAGAGGCAGCCAGGACTTACACCACAGCTGTCTGGCTCCAGAACCCAGCCACTTAATGATCACAATGGTCTGCCTCTCATATCGAGTTCCTGGGGGGTTCCAATGGTTTGAGGGTGGGCAGAATGGAGGCACTCCAAGGAAATATCTGGAATGCTAACCCGGAGAATGGAAGTCTCTGGGGGCCCTTAGTCCATTGTCTTCAGGCCTCTAAATGACTCTCACTAGACCATGGCAGTGGAAGGTTCTGGATGACCTCAGAAAACAAATCTAGGATCAGTGGGTGGACACCACTGGAAAGTTTCAATTCAATGGTTGGAATTTCTTCAGAGTCAGGGATATTAGTACTCAAGGTCACACAGCAAGCAACTGGCTGAACTGGGATTTAAACTTATGTTTGAAGGAGTGCTAAGGTTTTGCTATTAACCACTGTGCCTCTTCTTCATTTTCTTGTCAAAATGAGGAAAAGAATATTGGTGGAGGTGGGGCAGGGAGACACAGGGCCTACGTCTACCCACATTTCATTAAAGGCCTGCTGTTTCCCAGCAGATGGAGGCTGCTGTGTGATCATCTCCAGTTACTCAGTGGGTTTACCCCGCCCCCTTGGCTGGTGTGTAAATTCCCTGGGGGGAGAGTCATGTGCCCTCTTAAATGCCCAGCCTAGCGCTGTTCTGGCTGGGGCCTATGGAATGGGGTAGCTGGGAGGACGCTTCCTGTAGTCCCTCAGCTGCTCCCAGCATGGCTTAGACTTTGGGGGCAGGGTTGGGCCAGGCAGGAAGGGGCAGCTGGGGGTTTCCTCTGGGTGCGACAGCCTGGCTCTTGCCAGGCTGGAAGCCAAGCCTGGGAAGGAATTTCCCAGTCCTGTCTGAATTCTGTTTTCTCTTTTTATTTTTTTTTTAGAGACAGAGTCTCCCTCTGTCACCCAGGCTGGAGTGCAGTAATATGGTCATAGCTCACTGTAACTTTGAACTTTTGGGCTCAAGTGATCTTCTCCCCTTAGTCTCAAGAGTGGCTGGGACTACAGGAGAGAGCCCTCAGGCCCCACTAATTTTTTTTTTTTTTTGTAGCGATGAGGATCTCACTTTGTTGACCAGGCTGTACTCAAACTCCTGGCCTTGAGTAATACCCCCACCATAGCCTCCCAAAGCGCTGGGATTAGGGACAGACCTGAGCCACTGTGCCTGGCCTGAATTCTGTTTTCTTTGTGGAAGGAGGGAGAACAGCATGAGAGCAACTAGCCTTAAGGCAGAAGAGGAGAATTGGGGTAGTATTTATTTGGGAGAAGGACTTTCTTATAAGGGTTTGCTGCTTTTCTTCTATGAAGAGAATGATACTCTCACACCCCTAAAGCTAATAGGTGCCCAGGGAAGTCTTGGCTTACTTGGGTGACAGTGCTGTGAAACAGAAATATAAATGTGGGCAAGTTCTTGGCAGTGGCTCATGCTTGTAATCCAAACACTTTCCCATGCCGAGGCAGGCAGATCTTAAGCTCAGGAGTTCAAGACCAGCCTGGACAATATGGCAGAACCCTGTCCCTACTAAAAAAACAAAGCAAACAAACAAACAAAAATTAGCCAGGAGTGGTGATACATGCCTGTCATCCCAGCTACTTGAGTGACGGAGGCATGAGAATCATTTGAAACTGGGAGGCAGAGGTGACACCATTGCACTCCAGCCTGGGCTCTGTCTCAAAAAAAAAATGTATGTATATACACAAATATGAGTCACATATGAAATTGGAAATGTTCTAGTAGCCAGACTTAAGAAAGTAAAGAGAAACACCTGAAGTTAATTTTAATAACCAATCTTATTTAACCCAATAGGTCCAAAATAATATCATTGCAACCTGTAATTAATATAAAAATTATTAATGAGACATTTCACAGTTTTTGTACTGGATCTTTGAAATTTGATGTGTATTTTTTACTTACATCACAATTTATTTAATTTTTGTTTTTTTTGAGACGGAGATTCATTCCTGTTGCCCAGACTGGAGTACAGTGGCATGATCTTGGCTCACTGCAACCTCCACCTCCCGGGGTTCAAGTGACTCTCCTGCCTCAGCCTCCCAAGTAGCTGGGAGTACAGGCATGTGCTACCATGCCTGGCTAATTTTGTATTTTTTAGTAAAGATATGGTTTCACCATGTTGCCCAGGCTGGTCTCCAACTCCTGACCTCAGGTGATCTGCCCACTTCGGCCTCCCAAAGTGCTGGGATTACAGGCATGAGCCGCCTTACTCGGCCATACACCGCAATTTTGATTAGCCACCTGTCAGCATCTCAATTCATGGCTATCATGTTGGACAGAACAATATCAGATCATAGATTCTGGAAATGAAGATCCAGAAATCTCAGCATTTCTGGATCCTAAGATTGCCTTCAGGAGGACTTTAAAGTCATCTGGTCAAATCTCTCACACACAATGAAATAACTTTCCTCAAGGAGACCCACTGCTCCTAGCAAAGTTGATGTCCTCTTGTGGCATCCCAGTCGGAAACTTCCCCATTCTGGCAGCCTCCTGCCAATGGAGACGGGCTGCTGACAGCCAGCCTCAAGATGTAAAACAGGGGGAAGAGGTGAGACAGAAAGACACTGGAGGAATATAGAATGGACCCTATTCTGGCAGACTGCCTCTCCTCTCACCTTCTCTCTTTCTGGAGGGATTGTCACAGCCTGGGCACAGAGCAGGAAGGAATTCTTTTGTTAACTTCCCAAGCTAGAACGGAGACTCAGGCCCTCCCCTTCCCTTCTGATTCTTATCTCTCCATATTCATGGCAGCCAGCAAATGAGCTAGACCCTGCAAGCTACAAAAAGGTGGAGGCCCTGGGGAGCACACACTTTGGTCAGAATCCATGGGGGAAGGAACAGTTAATTCTGCCTGGGGACCCAGGCAGGTCTCCCTGCCGGAGGATGTCTGAACAGAAGGAGCCGTGGAATAGTGGGTGGCAGCGATGGGGAATGTTGAGGGTTAGTGATGATGAGGGACAGCAGGTGAAGGGAAAGGGCCTCCAGGAAGAGGGTAACAATCCAAGAAAGGGGCAGTATGAGGGAGCTGGTCTCCTATTTTCCCATGGGCCATGGTCACTGCTGCTCTTTCTCCTCCCCCAAGTTGCTTTGACTTTCCATATAAGAAAGAGAAGGAGATTTCTTTCTTTCTTTCTTTCTTTTTAAACAGAGACAAGGTCTCCTTTTGTTGTGCAGGCTGGTGATGAACTCCCAGCTTCAAGAGATCCTCCTGCCTCTGCCTCCCAAAGTGCTGGGATTATAGGCTTGAGCCACTGGGCCTGGCCAGAGATTCTATTTTTAAAAATCTGCCTGCTGGCCAGGCGAAGTGGCTCACGCCTGCAATCCCAGCACTTTGGGAGGCTGAGGCAGGTGGATCACAAGGTCAGAAGTTCGAGACCAGTATGGCCAACATAGTGAAACCTCATCTCTACTAAAAAATACAAAAAATTAGACAGTGTGGTGGTGTGTACCTGTAATCCCACCTACTTGGGAGCTGAGGCAGGAGAATCGTGTGAACCCAAGAGGTGGAGGTTGCAGTGAGCCGAGATCGTGCCATTGTACTCTAGCCCTGGCGACAGTGTGAGGCTCCGTCTCAAAAAAAAAAAAAAAATCTTCTTCAGCTGAGTTCCTAAAAAGACCAGCACATGGTGGGTAGCTAATGAAAGCTTGCTAGTGAATGGAGGAGAAGGTAGAGAGCAGATGAAGGGGCTATCAGACTGAGGTCAGGCCAGCTGGGGCACAGAATGCAGGACAGGTGGAGGGGCAGGAAGGCAACTGGTGTATCCTGAGCATTTGGTTTGTCTCCTCATCTTCAGAATCTCATTCACTCGCCCGATAGTGAGAGGTAGGTGGTATTGTGCTCCCATTCTACAGATGAGGAAAATGAGGCTCAGAGATGTTCAGTGACTATCTGGGGTTAAGGCTCATTCTGTATGATTTCGAAAGCCCATCTTTCTAGGTGCTTTCTGGCATGTCCTCACCTGGCTATTGCCAAGAACTCAGCAGTGAGCAAGTTCTTGGCAGGCACCTGCGCCTTTGGGGAGGGAAGACTGTATCCCTGGGAATTCCTGGTGAAGCGGAGGGTTCCTGGAAAGGCCTTCTGAAGCAGAAAGTCACTACCAGGCTTGGTGATCACCCGGCCACATCCCCCTCCAACCCCAGGTAAGGATGGGCGGCAGCTCCAAGAGGTAAAGTGGCTTGCTCACATGGGGAGTGGGTGGCTGGAGGTGGGATTGACTACCCTGCCCCTGGGCACTGACTCATGGCCATTGCTGTGGGAAAGTCACTGCCCATCTTCCAGCCTTAGCTTTCCCAGCCAGGCAATGGGTAGGATTGCTTTACCAAATCTGCCTGGGCCTGGCGCCAAGGGACTGGGGCACATTGCCAGGGTACCTCACCTTCTCTCTGCTCCCAGTGTCAACAGCTTGCATGGG